AAGGCAAAATTATAGACAAAAATTTACGTCCCGAATCGGGGTCATGAGAAAAAACAATAACAAGGCTTAACCTTGAGGAATTCGCTAACCAATCACAGTAGACTTAACATGCGCAAATACATTTCGTAGATATATGGCTTAACTTTCTAAGAAACGGTCACAAGCAGTACAGAACAGTAATGTTCTCAACTAACACCAACATTTGTAACCCTTTCACACACACACATACACATACATCCAACTGATATATGTAAACTCTACGGAGCTGTAAATGATTCATTCACGCACTACATCTTTAACCAGTGGATCGCCTATACAGACCCGATATTACTGAAACCCTAAATATAGAAGTAATATCACCAAGGCATTATACATAAACAAAGTAGTTATACTCCACTACCAACTACAAGAACGCTTTACAAGTTAGAAATCGATCGATAAAATGGAGCAGATTTTTTTATGTGCACCGTTCCGAGTCGCCACTATCACCATATAGCAACACAGAAAGAGAAAAAAGCAAAGGGAGGTTCAAAAGACTGATAATAAACAGAAGTGTGAGTGAGGGAAGAAGAACAGCAGAGTTTTATTGGATATGATAAATCACAAAGAGTGAATCCATCTGCGCCAGCCATCACCGAGATCGGTTTTGAGCCATATCCCGGATTGTTTCCAGCCTTCAATGATTCCTACTATCCCCAGGACCCGGACCGCAACTAGTCAGGAAGTCTACACCTCCCAACTTGACTGGCTTCGACCAACTGTTGTGGATTTTCAAGTATTGGTTTGTGGGGATTTGGTTGATTGGTTACAGGACTTCATCATGAGCTGACACTGGTTCGAGAACCTGGGAGTACTGGATAGCTGTTTCGTCTCCCTAGTTTGGGACGCCACTTCACCAGTACGCACCCACTGCAGTGGTTAGAACCCAGGACCTTCTGGTTACAAGGCGAGCTCGTAGACCATTAAGACACTGGAATTTCATTGATTGATGAAGCCATGTTTTGGTTTGACCACCACTAAGTTTCTCTTTTCCAACCTGATCATTAATCCCATGGTGGCTTGCTTAGAACTTGAGCTACCAAAAATCTCCATCAACATATTACCGATATAATTTCTCTTGTTCACTTTGTTTTGATCTACTAAAATGTGACGTTTAATGGTATTATGCACTCTAGTGAGTATTTACCTGCTGATTCCTAAGTTTCTAATAAACTTGAGAAAAAGCATTTTCCTCCTAGTAGACGGCGGTCGGTTTAAATCACCGGGCTACCTAAATTTTCTCTCCATCAAAATACATCGCGTTTACTCCGTATCATATTGTTTAAATGATCTAAGTGCTCCTATCACCATTCATACGCCCACACTATTTCAAATAAGTTTCTGCATATCTCTGAGAATTTTTCATAAGAAATGGAGGAAGAGCATTGTGAAGCAGTACTGGAGCAAGCTTTGAGGGGAACAATATTGTTTCAGATGAAATATGATCGATTATTTTTATGGTATTTGAAGATTCTGCACAAGGAGTACACACCTTGTAATAGGATTGGCTGAAAATTCTGTATTATGTAAACGCAGAATAAACCTATTATTACTGTTATTATTATTATAACGTATCCGAATACATGAGATAACTGTTCCTAAGTTATGATCTTGGATCTCAAAAAGTACTCCCAAAATTTCTATAATTGACTTTTAATTAAATGTCGTCCATTTTCTGAAGGAGACAAAGAAGAAATATCATAATGGATTGGTTTGCGCTTCAAGTTAGACAGAGCTGCGTCTCGCAACTTACAGTCAATTAATATTTTGTTTGAAGGTCCTGTTTTTTTTTATTCCTTCACGTTCCCCAGAGGAACACAGGGCTTCGAGCTAGAGGCTTGAAGTTTCTGTAGAAGTAGTGTTTATTTTTACAGGATGGGGTTGCTAGCCTCATGCCCAACTGTCCTTCCTTACCAGTCCTATTACTAGCTTACTGAGGTAAAGGAGTGAGTCGGCCGGGAATCGAACCTGGGACCACACGCGTGGTTGGCAAGCATTCTACCTCTGCGCTACCGACGCTAGTTCCTGTACGAAGAGAAAATAACATGCAATAAACTCCACTCAAAAATCTGAGCATTACATAAACACTATCAAGAATCAAGCTATTATTGTTATTATGCGCTGAACATATTGTATGACGAGCTGGTAGTACTGTGGTGAGAGCAAGCTGCTAGGCAATTGGTAGACATTGATCTACGCTGATTGGTAGAAATTAATCTAGGCTGATTCAACGATCAATCACAGCTGACCTTGACGTGGACAAATATGATTCGCAGACAAGTGGCTCGCATTTCCGAGAAACATCGAAAACGAGAAAGCAGAAGGCTGCGTTTGTGTGCAAACAACCAATCAGAAGACCGCCTTCTTTCTGCGGGCAGAAGCCTATTAATGTACGTAAAATACATATAAATACCTGTTGGTTTTCGTAATAAAACTGATCTGTTGCCTGGCCCTTGTCTTCTGTTGTTACAGTACTACTCGGTTACCCAATCAGGCTGAATTAAGTTAGATGGCGGCAGGGGGCTTAAAACCATGGTCTAATTTGACTGAAAGTCTAGTTTCTAGGTCAATGAGCTCCACATGGATGTGCAGACGGTCAGTAATTTCCATGTGTGTATACTCCCATGTAAAACCAGATCACAGTTGTGTTTGGTGTCAGGCTGGTGTATTTGACTGATGACAATATACATAGAAACCTTACATTAAAATTAACAATTCACACAGCTTCTTCGTTTTTCCTTCCCTTTCACGCTTTCTATATCGCTTCTTTTATTAAACATCATCTCAACCTAATCCATCACCGCCCAGCCCACCATTCTCTATATTCTTGCAGAGAACATCAACATATGCATACACAGCATACTGCTTACCAATACTTATTAATTGCACACGCTACACACTGGTATTTCAAACTATTGCTGCATAAGTGATCACAAAAAAGGAATACCGTTGGAACAGTATTTCAGTGAATGTCTTTTTTCTGTACAAATATCTGAGATCATAAAAATAACTCACCAAGAGATTTAGAGTAAGAGACAGAAAACAAGAAATTGTTCAGAAAGGATTTTTTTTCTCAACAACTATAAGCGATATACTGACGATACCTTCATCATTTGTAACGACAGCTGTTCAACTGCCGAACTTCTTGAAACATTTTATGGTCCTCACCCATCGATGCTTTTCACTATCGAAGAAGAGTCGAATTCCGCATTTCACTTCTTAAATGTGATGCCCGATAGAAGAGAGAACAACACGTTAAAATGTCGACGAACCGATTGCCATCATTTACAGATCAGTACACTAACTTCAACAGTTGGATACCTCTAGGTAGAAGAAGTCTTATCCGTTCGGAAAATTTAACCTTTAGATACGATCGACTTAGAAAGCCTTCATAAAACTCTCTGAAATAATGTATATCCTAGGTTTATCGACAGGAACATCGAGAGAGAGAAACCGTCCCCAGCCAAATCACAGTGTCGAAGAAGACACTGTTTGGCTTTCAAAGGTGACAGTATTCCTGAAGTAATTACAAGTCATTTATCTAAATTTATTAAACGCTCTTTTTATGCAGCTGACTTACATTTAGTATTTACCAGACGAAATATGATTCGACAATGCGTGAATGGATAAATTACCGCTTATGTCCACCTCTATGTGCATATACTCATTCACATGCTTATGTAGAGCTGATCACATTGGACGTTGTAAGCGTGTTCTGCATAAACACGTAGCTGAACACTGCTCGGTTTTGTTAATGAAAGGTGAGTAAAGGACGACAGTCTTCAATTGGTGAACACCTTCTGGAAACAGGTCGTTCAGCTCCGTGTAATTTATTCTTCATAGTTATTTACAGGACTACATCCAATCACTCCAAGAGCTTACGTTTTCTACAATTATGCATAGCCAAAGTTCTAGCTATACGTGAACATAAACCTAAATAATGTATTCAAAAACGCTATGTAAACCCCTTTCTTTACCTTGGTCATAGTAATGTTCTCTTATTTTATTCTATTTTAACATTTGAATTCATTCCACTTCACTTCATCTTCGCCATCTTTACCCTTTTATCATTGTGGTACTATTAATTGTTTAGACAACACTTGACCAACAATTGTAAAATCTTAACCCCAATTCACTTATTTAGTTATCTTTAATTCATTCACTTCAACTCCACCCCCACCCCATTAGTACATCAATTTAATTATCTTTATTCTTATCATATGTGCAATGTTAACTACTGAGCAATTTCTAGTGCTGCCACTTAATGCCTTCTGTTTCCGTAATATAAATACGACTACTGTACAGCTGGTTGGAAATGAAGCCATCGAAAAAGAAAGATTTCCCCATTGAACAAAAAACTGTGTTTTACCTTATGAATTTCCAAAACCACATATCTTTACTGAACTCCTGCATAATCTCTCTCTCTCTCTCAAGCTCCAAAACTCATTGGAATGCAAATATATATATATATATCCAACTGATGAATCTCAAGCTAGACAAAACACCATCGTTCAAACAAGTAGCGTTTGCAAAATACAAAAGCAGAAGAGAACAGGAAACAGTCTACAAACTTAAACTATATTATAAATAAATAAATATATGTATATATTTCATTATAACAATACATTTTTGCATAGAGAACACGTGACACATGTCTTATGTCACGACGATTGACTGCATCTTCTGTGCATGCGCAAAACCTCGTGACCAAACAAGAATATACACTTCAAATCGTCATCAGTCAGTCAAAAAATCAAATAGGGATTTCAACATAACGAATATATAAGAATTTGGCTACTGGGTGCGTGGGTGTGTGACTAAGAGTACTAATAAGTACATTACGAAGATTATGCATGTATATGAATCGTTATAACACACACATACACACACACAAGGGAAATGAAATGAAGAATACAAAATGCACACACACACACACTCACGCACACACCACACCACACATAGGGAAAACTTGTAAATATGTATATATGTATATGAAAGGACAATAGGACTACATTACTATCCCTTTAAAATAGTAACACTACCTCCTGTCCATGGGGTATAATATGTACACATGTAGAGTGAAGTTTTCAACAGATGTTGTGAAAGAGTTTACAGTGTGAACCAATGAGCCATACCTCAAGTATGTTTGTGTGTGTGTGTGCGTGTGTATGAGGGATGAAGTGGATACTACGGCTTTGGTTGTACCACTTAAAACCACCTTTTAAGTAGGTGCAGTAGGATTTGAGAACCAGTAGTCACCAAGTTGGTTGGACACTAATGACGGACTAGGCATGTACACACATACACACATACATACACACACAAACAAAAGATAGGGAAAAGGCAAGGATAAGGGGAAGGGAATAATTTAGATAAGCTTGAAGGAAGCATAGAGCATCACAGTAAGTGGGGGAGATCAAGTGTACACGTTAATCAAAGACATACGCATTATAAGATAAAACAAAATAGAGAAATACCACACAAACACAAACACACAGTCGCACATACGCACAAATGACTTAATAACATAACACAAAAGAGAGAAAAGGAAACACTCCGCATCACTGCTGGTGAAAGAATAATCAGGGCAGAATAGAAAAAGTGTAGAAACGACTAGGTGTGAACATCATACGCACGTATAGGTGCGCACGGGCTAACAGACACATTCTTCATGTTGTTGCTAGTTAAAGGGGGAGGTGACTGGGGGGGTGGGAGGCAAGGGCGGCAGGAAATAGGCGAATACAATTCCACTGATTATTTCATTTTGAGCATTTTCATTTTCGGCATTTTCTTCGCCTTCTCTTTGCGTTGTTCTTTTTCCTGCATTATTGTTGTTGTTAGGGGGGGGGGCACGGGTGATTTTCAAAGAAGATAAGAAGAGAAAGGAAAATGACAATAATAATTATAACAGCTGTAGGATTATAGACTAATACTTAACTACAATACTTAACCAAAACATGGCACCAGTCAATGAAATCCATAAGTTACTTTAAGCCAGCCACGTAGGAAGGTGTAGACTTCCTGGTTAGATCCTTGAGACGGTAAACACCGATGAAGGCTGGAAACAATCGGTGATATGGTTCAAAATCGTTCTCGGTAATGGCTAACGCAGATATGCATTCACTCCTTGTGACTTATAATTTCCAATAAAACTATATTGTTCTTCGTTATTACTATTCCTTTTGCCTCGTATCCCTATCTACTGTCTCTATGTTGCATTTCTTCTACTTTTTTTCTCTTGCTTAGTGCGCTACATGAAGTGTGGCGACTTGAACTGCAGCATATCGGTGAAAAATTCTATGTCGAAAACAGACAGACATTCAATAGGTGGTTGCACATGAAAAAAATTACATTTCCAAAGACTGAGATAGTAAGTGAATAAAGAAGGTCATTCTTCATCAGGATCTACACAACAGTTATATTCATCCATAGTGATACAAAACTTGATTAGAAGTGCCTATTAAAATTTTTCAAAAGAATGGTTGCTGAACAAAGAATATTCTTTCCGATAACTTCTTTATCTAAAAGAGTTGGTTTGTAAGGATTAAATTTGTTTTTACGAGTTTGACTACGGATTGATATCAGTTAGAGAACCATTGGAAAACAGGACTGGAGTACTGGACAGCTGTTTCACCCTAGATTGGCAGTACGCTCCCGCTGCCAGAGTCTGAACCCAGGACCGTCCGGTTACAAGGCAAGCTCGTATACCATTCAGCCGATGGGATGAAACAGCTGTCCAGTACTCTCTGGTTTTCAAGGGTTCTCTAAGTGATATCAATCCGTGGTCAAACTCGTAAAAACGCCTTCATCATCAGATTCTACAGTTATATATACACATAATAGTGAATGAATCAGTGTTATTAACAACATTAATGGTGTTTAAATAACATCGAATCAATAATAATATTAATAATATCAGTGGATTACAGTTCGATTAATTAAACCACACGGGTAGATGTTGCCGAGCACGAAAAATTAGGCTTTTTACAGAAACGGCCAATATAACTCGCTCCACCAGCGCAGTTGAATTGGTAGTTACAATAAAAAGTGGCTAGTCTAGTCTAGGTACTTCATCTTCTTCAATATTGGAGAGTCCTCCTCCATTATCATCTATCGGGTACCAAAAAAATTGCAGAAAAACATCCAGGCACCGCATACTGCAAACAGCAGAGGCTATTGCAATTCGCCTCAAACAACCAGTGCTCTGTGTTTAAAGGAAGCAAGTCCAGCCCCTACTACTGCCCTGGCCTTCAGTGGAGACCATAAACTCATAAATTTGTAGTATTATCTTTCCTAATTTTTCTAACATTCAACTTATTTTATGTTGATGCTATTGAACTGTAATCTACTGATATTATTGATTCGATGTTATTTAAACAACACTAATGTTGTTCATAACACTAATTCATTCATTCATTCACTATAATTTGTATATAAGTGTAGCCGCTAATGAAGAAGTTACCCAAAAAAGAACATTCTCCACGGAAATGATCTAAGTCTTTTTTTTAAATTATCAATAGGCAACTCTAATCAATTAGATATAAAATTATTGTGAAGAACTTCTGACGCAAAAAATCTCACGTGCACATCATCTATGCTGTTTAGTTAGGTATCCGATGCCGGGCTACGAGCCACACACACACAAACAAACAAACAATTATTGTGTGAAATCGTGACCAGTGGGGTACAGCAGGTCGGGTATGAGGACAAATACCCCCCCACCGACGACACTGGCTGGTACTAGTCGCGGTATACCGTGAATTGGCAGAAGTTTGAACTCATGGATTAGCCATTGGATCGATCTACGAGCTCGCCTTGTAACTGGAAGATCCTGCGTACAAACCCCAGCGAGTACATACCTCCGAAGAGTCCAAAACTAGGAGGGCTAGGTTCGCATATGCCAGTTTACGCCGTCTCTGGCGTAGACGCGATATCCGACTATCGACCAAAGGGCGTGTTTACTGCTCAGCAGTCCGCTCCGTCCTCCTTTATGGCTGTGAGACCTGGCCATTGAGAACGGAAGACATGAAAAGATTAGCTGTCTTTGATCATAGGTGTCTGCGTTCTATCTCCCGTGTGAAGTGGTATAATAAGGTGAGCAATATTGAGGTTAGGCTTCAGTCGAGTGCTAGGTAAGGCGGGGAAATCAATCGACGAGACTGTGAAATTATATCGACTGAGATGGTTAGAACATGTGCTACGTATGCCTAGTCATCGCCTTCCTTGATGACAGGCAATGTTAGCTGATATAGGGCCAGGCTGGAAAAGAGCTAGCGGCGGTCAAACGAAAACATGGCACCAGTCAATGAAATCTACAACAGTTAGTTTGAGCCAGTTACCTACGTAGGAAGATGTAGACTTCCTGGTTGGGGTCCTCAGGACGATAAACATCAATGTTTGGAAACAATTGGTGATATGGCTCAAAATCCTCTTTCTCAATGACAGCGCAGATGCATCCACTTCTTGTGACTTATAATTTCCAATGAAACTATATTGTTCTTCATTATTACTACTCCTTTGTCTCACACCTCAACTTAATGTCTCTATTATGTATTACTTCTAGTTTCTTCTCTTGCTTTGTGTGCTAAATGGAGCGTGGCGACTTGAACTGTCGCACATCGGTGCAAAGTTCTATGTCGAAAACCGACCGACCGACCGAAAACTAGGATGAAACATGTTCAATTTTCCAATGGCTCTCTAACCAATGTCAGTTCATAATGAAATCCTGAAACCAATCAAATCCCTGCAAACCAACACTTGAATATTGTATGAAGCCTGATGATACTATCCACTTATTACTTAGAGCTTGACTGAAGTAGAGTGGAGTGAAATTCCAATAGAATAATGAAAGTCATATCGCTATGTGTCCTAGTCCATGTAATTGCTCTTTTACTAGTTACAATCAAAAACTTTGTGACTTAGAACTTCTAAACCTCCATAGGGCACAGTTTATCCTAGTGTAGGCTGCTTTCAGGATCATGGGTGCGCAGACAACCGAAGAGACTTGTCATCTGTCAGTGCATCGTCGTACGATAACTTGAGACCTTACCCAGAGAGTGGTGACAATTGCAGGTGTTAGCTGACTGAATGCAATTAAACTTCACCTCATCACATAATGGATTTGACTACTAACTCTCTGTTTTTTTTTCAACCAGTGACATGATTGGAAAACAGTTACCACAGTATATTTCACATGGGTTGGTTTCACAGATTATGTCCAAGTCATTGCAGCGAGTGTCACAAGATAACGTGACCTATTTGAAAGACAATCTTTAACATATTCAAAAGCATAATGTCGCACTTCAGTGCTAGGGACACAGTGACGCAACAGGATTCAAACAATATTCAAATGCCAGGCATTACAAGTGCAGGACATGACTCTCTACATGCATGCACCAAAACACTGTAATAAACCCAACCCAACCACTGACAACCTGACTACCATTGTGACGAGACTAGAAGTGACCTAAACTCACTTGACTACTCAGATACACGAACTTCAAGATTACTTCAGACGGTCTACTTATGCAATTGTGTGTAAATCATGCAGTTAACTGAATGCAATTTGGAATAGTCTGTATTGCAGCACGCAGTTTAGATGACAGTATCTGTAAAAATCTAAGTAGAATAGTCTTAAAGGTAGGAAGTCGGGAGAAACAATTGACAATCACATCTTTCACAGTCTTCTAATCGCGCTTCTTTTGCGTGGATCGGTGTTTTTGCGTGCCATGTGATTGAGAATTTTCAAATATTGGCTTGTAGGGATTTGATTGATTGGTTACAGGATTTCATCATGAGCTGATAACGGTTAGAGAGTCCCAAGCTAGGCTGTCCAGTATTCCCTGAAGGTTTTCCGATGGTTCTCTAACCGATATTGGCTTATGATTAAGAATTAAAAGCACTGTATGCCATCTGACCAATTTTTAAACTACATGCGTTACCAAGCCTTCAGAGAGATTTTAGACTGTCGGCCTCATAAACTACTTCAGCAATTATGAACGGCCTGTGCATCAATCAAACTACATCTCAAAGTATAAGAAAAAACTACTGTGTCAAACTCCAAAGAATTACCTCAAGTTTTCTAGCTTTTTCAGGATCATCCTCGGCCATTATACGCTCTTTCACAGCACGCATACGTTCACCACGACGATTTTGAGCTGCTTCTTGGCGTAGAGTATGCATTGACTTAATACGGGAATCATGAGCACGTTGTCGATTCTTTTCAGATTTACTTTTACCCTAAACAAATGCATAAATGTGTATACTGGTATCAGATTTAAGCATAGCGGTTAGAGTAATGTATACAGAGCACACTACATACACATATATACACAAAAAAGAAAATAATATAATATTATCTGTGATGGCTTGAATAATAATCTTTTAGTGTGGGGGTGGGGGTAGGCCGAATCATTCCGTGAAGTCTTTAACTTTTGGTTGGAGTCACCTGGAAAAAGGGTGTAAACTACCTGCATACGGGTTGGTTCTAGAAACGTTAAGAACTAATGACTGGAGACTGTTGATGATATAGCCTAACAGCGTTCTCCATTAAATCCTCGTTATTCCAAGTGTACGTACTTATCCTTTATCCCGCACATATCCCTTATTTGTGTACCATATGGAGTTGACTTAGAATATGCAGATGATATAGTTCCTTTTAGGTGAAAACGCTGACAAAATAGAGCAGAGTCTTCTGAACACCTTGAGGAGCTGCAATCTGCGAATGTTTGACATGCGATTCGCTCTTGCCAAATGTAAGATGGTGCTACAGGACTTGGCTACATTGACTCGTAGCTTAGAAATAGGGAGTGAAGTGGTAGAGTGTGTCAACCACTTCACTTATTTGCGAAGTTGCATCAGCCAACGCCAGAGGGCTGATCGCTGACGAAATCTCAGCACTGGTACAGAAGGTTAGTCTCGCATGTGACATGCGTAGACGGTTATCGAACAAAGGGCGTGTGTACTGCTCCATCCTCCTTTATGGCTTTCACTGTGATATGGTCATTGAGAGTGGAAGACGTGAAAAGACTAGCCAACTGTCTTTGATCATAGCTGCCTAGGTTCGATCTCCCATGTGAAGTGGTATAATAGGGTGAGCAACATTGAAGTTACACTACGGTCGAGTGTTAGGTAGGTGTGGGAGGGGAAATCAATCGACGATGCTGTGAAGTTACATCGACTGAGATAGTCAGGACATGTGTTATGAATGCTAGCCTAGTCATCACCTTTCTCGACGGGCAATGTTCGTGACATAAGGTCAGGTTATAAAAGAGCCAGTGGTAGTCAAAGCAAAACATGGCTTCATCAATCAATGAAAACCACAACAGTTAATTTAAGCCACGTAGGAAGATGCAGACTTCCTAGTTGGGGTATTAGGGATGGTAAGAACCAATAAAGACTGCAGACAATTGGTGATATGGCTCAAAATCGTTCTCAATGACAGCGCAGATGCATCTACTCCTTGTGACTTATAACATCCAATAAAACTATATTGTTCTTTCATATTACTATTCTTTTTGCCTCATATCTCTCTTTAATCTCTCCACTTTGTGTTTCTCTTTACTTTCTTCTTCTTCTTCTCCTGTTTTGTGTACTGAGTGAAGTGTGGTGACTCGAAGTGCTGCACATCAGTGTAAAGTTCCATGTTGAAACCAGCCAGCACCAGATGGAGCTTGGCAATTTGAACTGCTTAACTTTTGTACACAGCTCTGAGTTGAAAACTCAGTCAGTCTCCGAATGACGATGCCGATAACAACACTATCCTCACATAACACAGATAAATGAGGCATCAGTGTATAATTCAAGACTATTTGTGAATATACATTTGTATTTTGTACGACGAAATTACCAACAATTTTCACATATACACAAATCTTTCAAGAACATAAAATGTTCCTAATAGAATGTGCTGTAAGAGAACACTGATAAACAGTTGGTCATTAGTGTTACTATTATTATTATTATTATTATTATTATTATTATTATTATTATTATTGTTTCTTTGGGTTCCGACTGCAATATAAGGCTTCAACAACACATCTTCACTTCATCCTGTTTTCTGCTATCCTCTTCATATGGGTTCACCATTGATGATAATCTCTCATCTCCTCCTCCTCGTCACCACACGATCTCCTTCATGTCACCCTCGGACGACCCACTCGGATTCCACTCGAGCAAATACCTGGCGCTATGTCATACGGCGGTCTCCTCAGCGTATTCCCTTCCATCCCCATTTTCTTCTACATATTTGTTGAACGACAGGCTCTTGGTTAGTTTTTTGCTAAAGTTTCTTGGTGCTAATTCTTTCTGGCCAGCTATTTGATCTTCAGTAAAGAACGAAGCAGTTGTTGATAAAAGTCTGTAATCTGTTGGAAATCCTTTCCGTGATGCGCCATATTTTTGATCTGTATAGAAGAACTGAGTGACTTCAAAATTGTGTTGAAAATCCGAATCTTACTCTCCATGTTGAGTTAGTGCAGATTTCTAAAATTATTTCAGATTGATGAAGGTGTATCCTGCCTCTCCGATTCTGGCTGGCTGGCTTGAACAGCTCCAACCCTTCCGCCAGCTGTGGTTGAAACCATGCTTCCTAGATAAGTGAAGGAAGTAACCTCTGTGAAATATCTGTCGTTGATGGTGATTGGTGCTGGTTGTTGTTGCCGTTAGTTTGTTTGTTGGTTGGTAGGTTATCTTCATCACCTCCGTCTTCTCTGTGTTCACCTGGAGTCCTGTCTTCGCTGCCTGCCTCGCCACTTCTGCCAGTTTGCGCCTGAAAGTCATCGAGTTTGTGTGACATTAAACATAAATCATCCATGGGCGAAATGCAGATCTCCAAGAGTCTTCTTATCGGTACAGCGTAGTCTTGTCTAGTCACTCCTAATTCACAGTCTGATGTATAATCCAGTCCACCTTAATTGGGAATATTATCGGTGATAGCAGATAGGCAGCCAGTTTGCCTTACTCCTGTATGCACTCTTAAAGCTTCACTGAATTTTCCGTTGTGGATCACCTGACACGTGGCATTGTCATATAGCCGCCTGTTGAATGAGTCTGATAAAGACTCTCCACGCCATAGTGTTGAAGTGGTTTCCAAATTCTTTAAAGGCCAACGCTGTCAAAGGCCTTTTCGAAGTAAATGAGATTATGGTACAGGTTTGACTGCCATTCTACGCTTTCCTCGATGACGACGCGTATAGCTGCAATTTGATCAGAACACGATTTACCTTTTCTTGAATCCAACTTGTTCCGGTTGGCGGAGTTCTGCATCTACTTCATCCTTTATTCTCTCCAGGATGACGCGAATTAGTATTTTACTTGGTGTGGAAAAGAGCATGATTCCACGCCAATTCTTGCAGAGTGAGGTCGAAGTCGCTCTTCTTTGGTGGCTTGACAAGGTAGCCTTTCTTCCAGTCGGTAGGTACCTTTCCTTCCTTCCAAGCCTTTTGCAATAATGACGTGAGCATATCTGCCGCAGTCTCTGGGTCCGTTTTCAGTGCTTCAGAGGGAACTCCGTCCGCCCCTGCTGTTTTCCCAAACTTCTGTAGCTCGATCGCTTTCAAGATTTCTGCTTTCGTTGGATGATTGCTGTCCAGTTGTGGACAATGATGGTATTTCTAGGCGAGTTGAAGGTGATGGCCGATTCATGTATCCTTTGAAGTGCTTTAGAAACTTCAACGCAGAAGAATTCAATAAAAAGTTAAAAATTCTCAGAAAAATTCTTTGATGATAAGAAAATTATGATTTTTGTGAATAATGTGTTTTGCTATAGATTCTCATCATCTGCAGGGCGTGTGTACTGCTCAACAGTCCGGTCCGTCCTCCTTTATGGCTGTGAGACCTGGCCATTGAGAGTAGAAGACATGAAATGATTAGCTGTCTTTGATCATTGGTGTCTGCGTTCTATCTCCCGTGTGAAGTGGTATAATAAGGTGAGCAATATTTAGGTTAGGCTTCGGTCGAGTGCTAGGTAAGGAGGGGAAATCAGTCGACGAAACTGTGAAATTACATCGACTGAGAGGTTAGGACATGTGTTACGTATGCCTAGTCATCGCCTTCCTCGATGGGCAATGTTAGCTGATATAGGGCCAGGCTGGAAAAGAGCTAGTGGTGGGCAAACGAAAACATGGCACCAGTCAATGAAATCTACAACCGTTAGTTTAAGCCAGCAACGTAGGAAGGTGTAGACTTCCTGACTGGTTGGGGTCCTCGGGATGGTAAAAAACAATGGTTGGAAACAATTGGTGACATGGCTCAAAATCGTTCTCAGTGGCGCAGATGCATCCACTCCTTATGACCTATGATTTCCAATTAAACTGTTTTGTTCTTCGTTATTACTATTTCTTTGTCTCACACCTCTGTTTACTGTCTATATTATGCATTTCTTCTACTTTCTTCTCTTGCTTCGTGTGCTACATGGAGTGTGGCGACTTGAACTGCTGCACATATGTGCAAAGTTCTATGTCGAAAACCGACCGACCGAGGTTAAGGTGTTCGAATACGCTGAATGCTTTGAAATAAGCATTTAACCAAGCGATTATTTTAGTTAATCGGTTTTAGGTATACAGACGGGGGTTGAAATTAAGAGGTTAAAAGTCATCAAAACATTAATTAACTAATAGATGTTGGTAACAAGATGACTAACTTTTGAAGGAGGGGTAAAAACTGATTAATTGTGGAATTCAAGATAAGTTATTCTAAAGGCACTAGAAGCAAGTAATTACGGAATCAAGAATTACTTAAAATACAAACAAGTTAATAGAATTAGCTAGAATTTTAAAAATTGTACAAATTAAGCAAGTCAAAAGATAGTTTACAAGGGGAAGGGAGCAAATCGCTTTTAAAAACTTAATACTTATTAAGTAATTGGCCATGGTAAAGAATGGGGTTGAACAAATTTCTTTTGAACACACAGATTTGGCTTGTTCAGATGAATTCCGATTACCTCCGGTGTATGCAAAAGTCGTACTCGCAGACCATGCAGCGAGAGGTTGGGTGAAATACGATAAATAACTTTATAAGCTTTATTACATTCAACTTGATGTCCATGTTCATGTCGATGAGATGAGGCAGTATTAAGCCGCGTATAGCTTTATTCGTACCTTTGCCAAACCTGGATGAGAGGTGTTCAGAAATTCGACAATGAATCTGCCTGATCGTACGCCCAATGTAACCACCTCCGCACGATCAGTTAAACTGGTGAATACACATAGAGGAGGTGAAACATCATCACCATCACAGCTATTTTATAAATTTCTGGATTATGTATCAACTTCTTGCTAACACGCCTAAGAATCAGCTTAACTTGAATTCCGTAATTAATCAGTTTTCACCGCTCATCTCTCCTTCAAAACTTAGATATCTTGTGACTAGCATCTATTAGTTAATTGATGTTTTGATGACTTTCAAATTCTTAAATTCCACCCGCTTAGGTATGTGAGTAGGTGGCACAGCGGTAGAGTGCTCGCCGACCAAGCTACATGTGGTCCGGTTTTCGATCCATGGCCACCAACGCACTGCTTTACCTCACTAAGCCAGTAATAAGACTGGCGCTGTAACTATTCAAAATCCTCAATATTTTATAAGAAAACGAAAAGCAACCCTATTCGCCTGTCTGCCCGCTTGCTTACTTACCTCTTTACTAAGACGAAATCGTCGAACTTTTTCAATCATATAGAATATGAAGTGAAACAGAGCTGTAGACGATTCAATATTCTTTTGACTGATTGTTTCATCATTTGCTGTCGGTGTGGATGATGATTTCGACTTTGTCGTCGGAACATCTGATGTAATTTTTAACAAAAAAAGAAGAGACAAAAAAACAGTAATGATAATGAATACAAAACATTAGAAAAGAAAAGAAACTTTACAGTGTTAATAGAGAATTCATACTTGGAAATGATTTCGACAAGCACCAACCTCTACCTCTATCTGACTATGAGATGCACCTATTGTGTGTGAAGGCTGATTGACACCACCACCCATTTACGAACACCTTTGAGGTATGTTTTTGGGTAGGATTGGGGGTCAGTGACCATTAATTGAAAGTTGAATGATTAAGCTATTGAGTTATATATATATATATATATATATATATATATATATATATATATATATATATACATATATATATATATAAACCCCAGTCTAATATTCTACCCAGTAAAATGAAACGAAATATCTACAGAAACAAGATAATGTTATCCGACTGGCTGTCGACCAAACGACGTGTGTACTGCTCATCAACTTGCTGAGTCCTCCTTTATGGCTGTCGCTGAGACATGGCCACTGAGAGTGGAAGATATGAAAAGGCTGGCTCTGGCTAGCTGATCATAGGTGCCTGTGTTCTATCTCCTGTGTGCGTTAGGTCGTATAATAAAGTGAGCGATAATCAGGTTCGGCTTCAGTCGAGTGCTCGCTAGGTGAGAGGGAAGACCAATCGACGAGATTATGAAGCAGTTGCACCGATTCAGATGGTTAGGAAATGTGTTACGCATGCATGCCTAGCTATGGCCCTCCTCAACAACGGGCAATGTTAGCTGACTGACACAGGATGGATCAGGTTGGAAAAGAGAAAGCTAGTGCTGGTCAAACAAAAACATGGCTTCATCGGTCAATGAAATCCACAACAGTTATTTGAAGCCAGCCACGTCGGAAGGTGTAGACTGGCTTCCTGACTGGTTGGGGTCCTGGTCCTAAGGATGGTAAGAACCAATGAGGGTTGGAGAGAGTTAGTGATATGTCTCAAAATCCTCGTTCTCAATGACTGACCCAGATGTTAACACTCTTTTTGACTTATAATATCCGACAAAACTGTTCTGTTTTTCCATATTACTACTCTTTTTCCCTCACTCACACTTCTGTTTATTATCTGTCTTTTGAAGCTCTCTTTACTGTCTTCTCTTGGTGTGTGTGTGTGTGCTACATGGCGAGAGTTGCGACTCAAACTGGTGCATACCTGTACAAAGCTCTACGTTGAAATCAGTCAATCGGTAGAACAATTGTAGGCTCCTGTTCTTCGCTTTACTACAAACAACTCAATATTTGTGATGATGGTGTTGATTATAGGGAATGCTTAGTGCAAATACATCACAACATTTCTTCAAATAATTATTCACATCATTCAAATAGGTTTCATTGAAAATTGTACGTTAAAAGAGTAAAAGAGAGAGGAAAGTATGATCCGTGTAAATATATCAAATGCAGGGACAACTTACATCGAAAGGAGAAAATAAGCGCTTTCTGAGTGACTGGCGGTTTGGCAGCAACATTTGTATCCCTTGATAAAAGGAAAAAAGGGATAAAATAAACGAAAAGAATCGCAATGACAAGCAGATTCAACATATCTTTAACACTCAATAATAGTACTACTGCAAATGGTATAATAAACTGAGGATTGACATTTAGATCATGGATTTTTGCATAGATTTGAATTAATTTCTCCACGAACCAAAAAAGATTATAAGTTATTGACAACCAAGGAGCACACTGAACAGCAGTTTCGTCCTAGTCTCAGACTCCTCATGGGTCACTGAATTCCGATGCAAATGGCCAAACAGTCAACGAACTTCTCCTTGTAACCTGAAGGCACCGGGTTAGACCCTTGGTAGGGTTGTGGGTACACAGCGCTGAAGAGCACCGAAAAACTACGAGGGAACAGCTGTCCAGTGCTTTCTAGCTTCCAATGATTGTTCAACTGGTGTGTTAGTTTGTGACTGAATAACTGTGAGTGGGGTGGAGTTCAAACTCATTAGCCACTGGTAGGAAATTGAATGTCTAGATGAATGAGTCACCACAGCACCGTTGTTATATCCGATAGCTAGCTGTTTAGTGGATTGGAGAATAAATAAATTATAGCACAGACTAAATCGATATGAGATTAGGGAATTTTTAAAAAAAGGTTAAAATCTTTTTAAAAGTTATCTGGTGATATAATTATTTTTGGATCTCTTGTTGATTGATTTTTATTCGAATGAAACGCTCTGGCTCTGTTGACACATCGGCTCCTGGTACGGAAGATTCGATGCTGCCTTAAAGATAACTTGATACTATTTAGACTGATGCTGGCCAGCTAATAGTGGCACGTGTTTCACCGTCTTTGGGATTCGTCAACTGGACGTACTGTTCTCCTACAGTGACTGAATTCAACCTAGTTGGTGAGTTTAACGAGGAGGGTTCAGTATGTGATAGAGTAGTGATTTTGACCTCCTCCTCCCCCCCACCGCTAGATTGACGTTCTGACCTATATAGATTTAATTTTGACTTTTCGAGGTTTGTTCACTCTCAAAGAAATAGGTACGATGTGTGTGTGCTTATAATAGTTAAGTTGCATTGCTGAAATACATAAAAACACGTAAGGATGTGTTCCATTCGTTTGAGAAGTCAACTCTAAGTTGTTGAATCATGGGGTTTAAGTGCCACTCCGTCTACCTACAATCTGGCCAGTTGGGAAGCCCAACAGCTCTTACACAATAGGTGTGGCTCATAACCTGATGGAAAAGAAATAAGCTGTAGATATGACCAACTTTTAACCAATACAGGCGGAACTGACAAGGATATCAAAGCGAGGATCGGGAAAGCAAAGCGAACTTTCATTTCTCTCAAGTCTCTGTGGAGATCAACGTTCAGCACTCAAGCACGAGAAGATCCGGATTTTCAACTCCAATGTGAAATCAGTCAGTGCTACTATACGGATCAGAGATTTGGCACCGCATCACGAAGGGCACCTCGAACAAGCTATAAACCTTCATCAACAACTGTCTTCGCTCAATACTACTCAAGATCACATGGCCGACCGGAAAAGATCAGCAACAAGGATCTCTGGGAGCGAACCAACCCAGCAGGAACCGATTGTGCAACGAATATGCAGGAAGAAATGGAGGTGGATTGGTCATACTCTGAGGAAACAAACCATCAAGTGAGTGACATCACACGACAGGTCATTGCTCGAGTGGAATGTGAATGGGAAGTGGCGAGTTGGAAACAATAATGATAATACATGTGTCAGATGTAATGTTGAGATTCCTAAATGGAACCACTAACTGTACTTTAGATTGATTTACACGTAAGAACTACACAACCACCAACCACACATATGGTCTGAGTTTGACTCCCAGCCAATGCACTCTCCTTACCAGTGCCTAGTTAACTAGACCAGGGTAAGCACGAAAAAAGAGAGAGAAGGTTGAGCGTGAGGCTGACAACTCCATCATCGCTATTGAGACATTAAACACGTTCCACTGGGAACGACACGCAAGGAGAAGTGAATGAGGCGTAAAAAGGTATAGAACAACTTACTCCTGTGGAGGTTTTGGTCCACTGTATTGATCCGAAAAGAACAGGTAATCAATTGATTCCTCATGTTCACACAAAAATTTACAAACCTACAAAAATTAGAATAATAATGAAAGCACTTTTACAACAGACTTGAAAATGATCCCCTTGTTATGTCATACAGATGTTTTATTTAAGCCTACAGTTCCTAAAGGCCTTTGCTGGCTACATTGATTTAATCATTTTATTATTATTATTATGATGATGATGATTCGTTGTTATTATAGACGAAGTGCTCTTAACACGCAACTGAATGCGCATGTGGTAAATAGAATACTACTACTACTCAAACTACAGAAATGACTCATCCATTTCAAGCACATACACAATAAGTTATACAAGACACAGAAGATCTCATTGAGAGACATGAGAACTTGATGGATCTAGAGCATAACACAGATCAAGTGCACCTGTGCGCCAGTGAGAACGATTTTGAGCTATATCGCTAACACGTAGTCTCCAGAGAAATTAGTCCTTAGAATCCCGAAGATACCAAACTGTCTCCACTAGGGATAAAATTTATTTTGATAGAGTCATACAGCGTGTTACACAGTAAGTAATATTCACTGATGACCACGTTTCGAGCACAATGCATCACCGTTCATAATCATATCGAGACACAACTCACACAACTTTCTTGCTTCATTTATATACAACATGAGGAAAAATTGATTAGATACTTGACTAAAAATCAATAAAAGTCCAACAGACATGCGTGAAACTTTAGACTTTAATTCACCACCTCATCCGTTATCACGCTGTCAAGGCAGGCTTAGTTAAGTATCTAACAAACCGAGCGATAACAACACTAAGTTGTATATCAAAAAACCTAAATGATGAAATGAAACAGGCAGAAGAAGTGTTGGTGTTAAATAACTATCCTGTAAAATTCATTAGAAAGATCAGAAAAGGTCAAAAGCAAAATGAAAATAATGGGGAAACTAATAATAATAACATGAATAAGAGAGAATATAAGGCATCTACTGTTACACCATATAAGGAGGGGACGTCTGAGGCTCTACGTAGGATTCTCAATAAAACAGGAATTAGGGTGGCATCGAAACCTACAAACTCACTCACGGACAAGACCCGATTAGACAAAATAATATAATTTACAAAATACCTTGCAATGACTGTAAGTGACGTCAACTACATAGGTCAAACTAGTAGATCAGGAGTAGTGAGATTATCAGAACATAAGACTTAAGCTAAAGTTAGGATGACTGATCCTACGAAGATAAGTAATTTCGAAAAAAGCTCAGCTATAGCACTGCATGCATAAACACACAACCACACAATAGGGTAGGAGAGGGTTAAAATTCTAAGAAGTAATATGGGTAGATGGAGAGAGAGAGAGATTACTGAATCGTGCCTGGTTCATCGAGTCTACACCCAACACATGCAATAGGAGTGACTCAATGCAAATACCAGAAATATAGAAGATATCATTACCGCCAGTCAAATCAGAAGAGGATAATAAATAATCTCAAAATTCTATTTCAATTCACGCACATCACAACATTCTAACAAGTTACTTATTATGACTATAAAAACACTCGTCTTATTTCCCATTTGATTGTACTTGATTGATAACACTAATATTATTTCTGAATGTACTTTATCTTATAGTGATTTTTATTCAAATATCTAGTCAATTCCACACAAGTATATAAATAAAGGAAAAAGTTTTGTGATTACCTTGATATGATTATGAGTGGTAATAGATTGTGCTCGAAACATGGTCATCAGTTAATATTACTTACTGTATAACAAATACTGTGTGATTTATCAAAATAAAATTTTATCCATAATGGAGTTATACTCTACCGCCACAGTGCCCAAGTTCTATTCTCATATCAAAATGTCTACACCTCTTTACGTAGCCAGGGAAAAGCCACTGTCATGAACTGACTTCAGGTTTGGGTTTGACCAGCACAAAACTTTTTCTCAACCCAATCCCCCTACACTGGATAACAATTTGCAATCATTACTAGACATTAACAAAGGCTAAATATAAAATAATCATAGTCATAATAATAATAATAAATAAGCATTACTTGAAATATTGAATTAACACTTACAGGTGGATTAAGAATAGCTAAAACAACTTCTGGAATTTCATTCAATACAATAAATGACTCTGGAAGATGTTGATAACGTTGACCCCGCTTATCTGGACAATAGACAGCTAAGTCTTGATGATCTTTGACTAAGGCTTGAAGACAACGTTTACGACCAACTGACATAACCCAGCCGTCCATTTCATTATCATCCATAATTACTTTGACTACCTATAGGAAAGAATATATAAAAAGTGAAATAAAATGTTAAAAAAAGCTTAAACGTAAATCACACACACGCATGCTAAGAACGTGTTTTGGAGACTAATTGACTGACTGACTTGGCTCTCTGTATTATGTGGAGTTAAACCGGTTACACTGCTGATTAGGAAGGAGCTCAGGGCTAAATGACTCTCCGGACACCTTTAGATCACCTTCATTTCGGCTTGGCAAGCAAGCACTAAGGGTTGATGACGTTTTTATCACCTATTTATTGATTAAAACACAAACTTATTACATTATGAGCACCAAAGGATGTGCCACACAAAATCCCATAGATTGCACGAAGGCTGAGATTACGCTGGGACGTAGGCCGAGGCAGATGGTGGTTGTCTTAACGAAAAAATCCCCCTCTCTCAAGAGCCTCCAACTCGAAATCTGATCCATAAGGCAGTGCAGGAGCTACGTGGTTCCCATAGCTGCAGTTGACCAATACAGGTTCATACGCACGCCACTATATCACTTCGTATTTTGGAGCCCATGTCCACCATAGATTTGGAATCAAGGTCTTCCGGGTAAATATCTGAATGTCCACCAGGGCAGCTAGATAGCATTGTTAGTCCTCCCACCTATTAGATGTTGCAAGTGGTTGTTGAGTGACCTAAATCTCATCTGAATGAATACCGCTACTTACTTTCCCGAAAAGTAAGAGCTAAGTAATTCCTTCCCACTATTATCTAACGTCGACCCTAATTCGAACACAGTGGTAAGGACAAAAAGAAATCAAGCCTGGGATTTCATCTTTCCAACAACAACAAAAAATAGTTATCCTTTATATTATTCGTATGTTTTATCAAATTCTTTGCAGATAATTGCATTTCATGACTAATTACAAAGCAATGGGGAATTTAGTTTGCCTGCATTTCTTATCACAACTGTCTCCTCTAAGTTACCCTCGGACTCATACGCAAAATATCGTTTCCCATTCAGGTTGCGAGTCTTACACCCAACCTTCCTTCTATTCTGGTCTTACAAACAGCTAGCTGAAGTTTAGGAGTGCATCAGTCGGGAGTTGAACTCAGACTTCTCACACATGGCTGGCGAGCATTCCTGCCATAAAACTTTCCATAAAGGCATGACTTCCTCAGCAATAGACAGGTGAATAGTAAAATGTGTCGACACCATAACTCAAAGATCCTGGCAACAACAATTGGTAGAGAGTCATCGATGTACTGTGGTGAATGGTCCCTAACCAGGACGAGACGCATATCCAGTGGTCTAGGTGACGAAATTTTCCTTGGAAAAATAATTAATAACATAAATAATTCATAAATTAGACAATTGGCAACCCCGAAAAACTTCAGTGGAGGATAGCAATACTAGCCAGTCAGTAGTACATTGAATGAAATTGGAATGCCCTATCGCATAAAAGTCTTCACTTTGAAGTCTTCAGTTTGGCAATCTGCTAAACTCAGCATAAAGAACAAGCTTCGAATTGCCAACACCAATGTTAGGTGAGTTCTTCTAGTATGGATCGGAGGCTTGGCGCGTCACGAAAATCATTTCCAATAAAACAGGCTGTAGACTTTTATTAACAGCTACCTTCGCTACTGGGAACAAACCAATCAAGAACCTGTTGCCCAATTAATATGGCCAAGAGAATGGAGATGAACCGGACACACGCTGGAGAGACAACATTGAGTTACGTCACGCACTCGGGAAAACCCTTGAGTGGAACCCAAATGGGAAACGATGAGATGGCTATCCAAGGGTTACATGGAGGAGATCGTGTCAGGAGGAGATAAAAGATTATGGGCAATCATGGAGTCAGATTAAGAGGATTACAGAGAACAGGGCAAAATAAAGATGTGTCGTTAAAGCCCTATGTTCCATTCAGAATGCAAAAGGAATAATAAAAATCACTTCAAAGTCAATTACTCATCTAAATGACTGAGAAATTGTTACCATTTTAGAAAGAAGGTTGAAATTAAGCATAACCACGTAATTTTAAGGCGAATTATTTTGTAAAACTTACAATACTATCATGAATTGGTCTTATCCAATGAGCGATAGCAAAAAATAAACACTGACGTCTAACTAAACGCAATTCAATAAGCATAGCATCACAATGTACAGTGCCAGTACACCAAAGTGAATATAAATGTTCTGATTCTTTCATCAGTGTACCAGTTCCAGGTTCAGCTTGACCATCATCGCCTAAATTGATGGAATAAAGGGGAACACACAAAAAGGCAAAAGAAATCATTTAGAAGGCTTACATACACTGTCATACTGATCAGTTTAAGGGTGAAAAATAAAGTACATATTTAACAAGGGGGTGGGAAATAATAAACTATAAATTTAGGTTCATTCAGCACTTGAGATTTCACTAAGGTTAGTAGAGCTCTTGCCGCTTTTAATTTAGGCAGTTTCGCATATCGGTTTATCTGATGGTGACGTGGAGATAGTGTCAGGAGGTAAAAATGAAAGACAATGGAAGTTAAGAAGAACTGCAGAGAACAGAGTATGAAATGGTGATGTGCTGCTGCTGAAGAGCACTACTGAAAACCAACGGGTAGTGGACAGTCCCCTGTCTTAGTTTGGAACTCATAAGGATTGGGCATTCATAACTCCATCAGCACGGATAGAGAATGCTCGTTTTGCATATGCCAACTTACGCCATCTCCGGTTTAGTAGACGTGATATCTGGCTGGCTATAGACCAAAGGACGTGTGTACTTCTCACCCGTTCATTCTGCCCTACTTTATGGCTGTCACTGAGACATGGCCACTGAGAGTGGGAGACATGAAAAGGCTGGCTGACTGGCTACCTGTATTTGGTCACAGGACCTTCTGGTTACAAGGCGAGCTCGTAGACCATTAAGCCACTGGGACCCGATCCAATGACCCATGAATTCTAACTTCTGCCAACTCACGACATAGCGCGACCACTAGCCAATGTCTTCAGCGAGTATTTGTCCTCACACCCGACCAGATTCGCTACTCGTGTGTAGCCAGTTACACCGGCGTACACAATTAGGCATGGTTATTGCCGGTTATTTTAGCACCAATCCGCATAGTGGTTAAGCGATAAGCCACAAGCAAAGTTTATTCGTAGCTTTGTTTCAACTCAGCTTGTAGATACTGAACACACACAAAGTTGATGTTAATAACGCCCTTAAATTTAAACGAAGCAATACGAAGAGGTGATTTTTTCTGAATCGTGTAATGTATTTGTGCAACACATTTCGAATATCTCTTCGGTGCATATTGGTTGGATTCTACTGAAGAGGCACCTCAGTAGAATCCAACGAATATGCACCAAACGACACACTTGATGAGAAAGAAAGAAAGTTGACACAAAAACTCTGTTTGATAATAATTATCTAGACAAGTTTATCACGAGATATAAAGTAGTCAGAACACCAAGACCCACTTTCCAGCTCACGTGTACATCAAGCTACCCTATGTGGGTGATCGTAGCTTGGTAACTCGACAAAGTTTGAACGCTGAGGGTAAAAAGACTTTTTATACAGCTAAGATCAAAATAATTGAGAATGTGAGGCCCATATATCCATCTAAGCCTTCAGCATATGTGAAAAACGATATCAAATCCCACTGCATTTACCACTTTAAATATACGTGTGGATACACATACATAGGGGGGACTCATCGATCTCTGCAAGCAAAGGGCTGGCTTCAGAGCATGTTCCTAAATGGCTTCAGAAGCAAACTGAATCTCCTGAACCCATTAATGGTGAGAACAGACGATGACCTAGCTCCCCTACTGCGACACATATGATAGAGACGGGACATAAAATTCATGTTTACACATCTTTTAAACCTATCTATAAAACGTGTTTGGGGAGGGCGTATCCTAAAGTTTGTGGAAGCCCTAGCTAGCAGTTAGGAAGTTTAAACCACCTTTATGCGTTCAAAGCAACAATTCGTCATCACACTAAACCTTCCTATGACAAGTCCGTGTGTGGTCAGATTGTTCGAAATGTATTGCGCTAATACTACATTACACGATTCAGACAAATCACGTCTTCTTATCGCCTTGCCCAAAATTCATACAGGGAACTAATTGTTTCAAAGGCCTTTAAAGTCATCTATCAGTAATCCACCTAAAGAAGCCGAACTTATATGTGTGTCAGGAGAAACTCGTTCAGATGATTTCCTTACCTTGACCAAAACTCAGACAACTTTCCTTTCTTCTCTCGAAAGGCTTTTACAAGTTATTGTCTTAACTATTTTTAATTGCTATACATATATATATATAACTGTTTCAGTTCGCTGACGCGGACGGTGGGTCGGTTTTCGACATAGAACTTTGCACATATGTGCGGCAGTTCAAGTCACCACACTCCATGTAGCACACAAAGCAAGAGAAGAAAGTAGAAGAAATGCATATTAGAGACAGTAAACAGAGGTGTGAGACAAAGGTATAGTAATAGCGAAGAACAAAACAGTTTAATTGGAAATCATGAGCCACAAGGAGTGCATGCATCTGCGCCAGCCATCACCGAGAACGATTTTGAGCCATGTCACCAACTGTTTCCAACCATTGGTTTTGACCGTCCCGAGCACCCCAACCAGGAAGTCTACACCTTCCTACGTTGCTGGCTTAAACTAACGGTTGTAGATTTCATTGACTGGTGCCATGTTTTCGTTTGCCCACCACTAGCTCTTTTCCAGCCTGGCCCTATATCAGCTAACATTGCCCGTCGAGGAAGGCGATGGCTAGACATAAGTAACACATGTCCTAACCATCTCAGTCGATGTAATTTCACAGTCTCGTTGACTGATTTCCCCTCCTTACCTAGCACTCAACGCCTAACCTCAATATTGCTCACCTTATTATACCACTTCACACGGGAGATAGAACGCAGACACCTATGATCGAAGACAGCTAATCTTTTCATGTCTTCCGTTCTCAATGGCCAGGTCTCACAGCCATAAAGGAGAACGGAGCGAACTGCTGAGCAGTAAACACGCCCTTTGGTCGATAGTCGGATATCACGTCTACGCCAGAGGCGGCGTAAACTGGTTCGCTGACGCACCAAATAACAAGCGAACGCTTTGCATGCCCCTTAAAGAATTCAAAGCCATGACGACTTATTTGGTGATCACTACCGGCAGCACTGAATAGACACTGATGCCTTACACACCAGATTATAAACCATTATATTATATTTTATATGCTGACGCGGTAGACCAGTAATCGTTTCTACTTGCCTTATATAATGCTGCTGTACACACTGTAAGCATTTCATATGAAAAGAAAGGCGTGCACACCCATACGCACATACACAAGTAGATACAAGATTGAATTATAGGCGGCTAGTTGATACGAAAGATGAAATAATTTATAGGCGACATGCTAATGCATTGGATATATATTTATATCCACTCTATTTAAAATCAAAAGTTCCGCTTGTTTTAAAATTTGAGTTTTCTTTTTAGAAAAAGCTAGTCAGTTACCATTTATCTATCTCTATGCTTGAGCATACATAGTACGATTAAGAGGAATTTATGGATATATAGGCACTACTACAAGAGGGGAGTTCTGTTACAAACTGTCATCATCGGGCAAAAATGCACTTGGAATAATAAAAAAACCATTTGAGAGTATTTCATTAGGGGTTTTCGAAATTCATTAGCATCAGGCACCCGTAACTCTGGATGAGTATCTCAAACAAACTACAGACCTTCATTAACAGATGTCTTCGCTCAATACTCAAGATCAGATGGCCAGAAAAGATCAGCAACAAAGATCTCTGGGAGCGAACCAACCAGGAACCGATTGTGAAACAAATAGGCAAGAAGAAATGGAGATGGATTGGTCATACTCTGAGGAAACCATCAAGTGACATCACTAGAAAAGCCGTTGCTCGAGTGGAACCCGAAAGGGAAGCGGCGAGTTGGTCGTCTAAGGGTGAATTGGAGGAGGTCATGTGAAGAGGAGATTAAAACGTGTGGGCAGACTTGGAACCAGATGAAGACTCTAGCAGAGAACCAAACGCAATGGAGACGAACGGCTGAAGCCCTATGTTCCTCTAGGAATTAAAGTAAACAATAATAATAATAATTCGGAAGCGATTAGAAGGAAGCCTTGGACCTCAGCTTGATGTTTGTCGACATTCGTCGGCAGAGCATATCTGCAGTCATGAAGTAACTCATATCCCTTCGGAGATCCCAACCCCCACCAACAAATGCTGCAGTCATAGATGTTACCACTGGGCTATTCAGATTCGTGGTCGACAACCCTGTGTAGGACTGAATAGTAACCAGTACAATGCATCTAGTCTTTAGGTTGATGGAAACTGAATTCAGCCAGTCAAGGATTAGACACATCACATTGGCTACTTCCCAGTGACTAATCAAAGCACCCATGTCTCTCTTTGTTTAAACCCAAGTACTCAGAACAGACTCTTCATGTGCCAGGCTATACGGGTAAAGCTTACAGTATAAGAGTTGGAGATACACTACACCCTCTTGCCCAGCCAAGCATAAGAAAAGGCTAGCTGATTATCTATGTTTAACCACAGGTGTCTGCGTTCTATCTCCCGTGTTACGTGGTATGGCAGGGTGAACAATATTGAGGTTAAGCGTCGAGTATTAGAACATGCCATCGCCTTCCTCGACAACGGGCAATGTTAGCTGAGAGAAAACTAGTGCTGGTCAAACCAAAATATGATTTCACTAGTCAATAAAAAATCTATAACAGTTAGTTGAAGCCAGTCACGTCGGGAGGTATGGACTGTCAGTCTGGTTGGGGTCCTGGGGATGGTAAAAACCAATGAAGGCTGGAGACAATCCGTGATATGGCTCAAAATACTCGTTCTCAATGGTTGGTGGAGAGGCATTCACTCACTTTGTGATTTATCATATCCAATAAAATGCTATTGTTCTTCCATATTACTATTCTTTTTCCCTCAATCACACCTCTGTTTATTACATGTCTTTTGAACCTCCCTTTACTCTCCTCTCTTGCTTCGTGTGCTAAATGGGGAGGGTGGTAAGTTGAACTGGTGTACATCTGTGCAAAGTTCTATGTTGAAACCAGTCAGACTGAAGTAGACGGAGTAGAACTAGAACGTCTCATCTACTCAAAGAAAGCCGAGTGTTTTTCAATCAATCAGATAACCATAACTGACACTAATTAGAAATAAAGACTATACCGAAATATACCCCAAAAATCGATCACTTCAGCAAACAAACCTAACACACTTAAATATTAATAAGAAAAGGAGTAATGAAGTGGATTTTTTGAAATTATAGTAATAAACCATAACTGGTGAGATCCTCCACACAATCGAAGACAGGGATGATCACGCTCATATCATGGATTGGTAAAACTTACCAACCACAGCAAAATTAGCCTCTAGTAAAGGTTGATGAGCAGCGAACCATGTATTAGCCAATTGTGTGTTTTTAGAACGTCCAATTGCAAAATTCAACATGTACACTAATAAGGCCAAAATAAAAAGTATCTCCAAATGAAAATTATCCCATGAACGAGTCAAGTGATGTGGGACCTAAAAAAAGAAGATAAAAATAGAAGAGTTATTGATTTTATTATTATTTTTTTAAATGAATAAAAAGACTTAATTAAATAGTTATGTGGACTTAATTAAATAGATATGTGGATGACACTTTCACAGTGTTATAAACAGAACTCATCTCTCTCTAGTTTCTTGACACATATAAACTCACTAATACAGGGAATAAAATTCACATTTGAATCGGAAAATGAACAAGGAGAATTAGCTGTGATGTTATTATTATTATTATTTCCTTTAGTTCCTAGAGGAACATAGGGCTTCAGCCATGGGTCTCCATTGCGTTCGGTTCTCTGCTAGAGTCTTCACCTGGCTCCAAGTCTGCCCAGACGCTTTCAATTCTTCTTCACATGATCTCCTCCAGGTCACCCTTGGACGACCAACTCGTGATGTTAGATTGTAAAATAAAACGAATAGAAGAAGGGAAACTGAACATTAGCGTATATAGAAAGCCAACGCATTCTGCTAATAGATATTTAGACTTCAATTCATCACCTCATCCGTTATCTGTCTGCGAAGGCAGGTGGCTTAGTTAAATGTCTAACAAACCGAGCAATAGGAACACTAAGTAGTACAACAAAGGACCTAAATGATGACACTAAACAGATAGAAGTGTTGGTATCAAATAAGTATCCTATAAAATTCATTAGGAATATCAGTAAAGGCCAAAAGCAAAATAAAAATAATGCTGAAACTAGTAATGATAACATAAATAAGAGAGAACATAAGTCATCCACTGTTATACCATATAAGGAGACCCTACGTGGTAGGATTCTTAATAAAGCAGCAATTGGAGTGGCATTCAAATCCACAAACTCACTCAGGGACAAGTTCTGTAGGTTAAAGGACCCTGTAGGTTGACCCAGTTAAACAAAATAATATAATTTACAAAATATCTTGCAATGACTGTGAGTTAAGTCAACTACATAGGTCAAACTAGTAGTTCCGGGCAGTCAGATTGTCGGAACATAAGAATTTAGCTAAGGTAAGAACGGTTGACCCCGACAAGATAATTAATTTAGAAAAAAACCCAGCAATCTGACTGCATGCATTAACACACACAACTGCACAATAGGGTAGGACAGAGTCAAAGTTCAAAAGAGTAATATAGGTAGGTGGAGAGAGAAATTGATTACAGAATCCTGGTTCACCGAGTTTACAGAAATGACTCAATGGAAATACCAGAGATATGGAAGATATTATTACCACCAGTCAGTCAAATTAGAAGAGAATAATAAATAATCTTAAAATTCTATTTCAATTCACATACATTAATTATAACATTCTAACAAGTTACTTATTTTGACTATAAAAACACTCGTCTTATCTCCCATCTGATTGCATTTGATTGATAACACTGATATTATTATTTCTGAATGTACTTTATCTTATATTGATTTCTACTCAAATGTCTAATCGATTCCACACATGCATACAAATGAAGGAAAAAAGTTGTCTGAGTAGTGCCTTGATATGATCATGAGCGGTAATCAGTTGTGCCCGAAAGACGGTTATCAGTATATAATGGTGTATAACACTGTGTGATTTATCAAAATAAAATCTTATCTGTAATGGAGTTATACTCTACCGCCACAGTGCACAAGTTTTATACTTATATCAATTATATAAATAGTTCAAGTGTGAAACATGGTCATAATGCGGAAATTGAACGATGAATACCGTCATGATAACTTGACTATTTCAGCAGAATACCATACACATACACTTCTAGCGTATTTAACAAGCAGCAGAGATGGACAGTATTGAAAGGGATTGAAATTTATGCACCTGACAGTGGGATCAAAACAAAAACGAGTTACGAACGAGATTAGTTTCAGGGTTCTACTAGAGACTCTTTTCTACTACTTGAGTTCCGACCAAAGTGGTGGTGCTTTTTTGGTTTAATCGGGTGCTGCTGCTGTCCTCATCGTCAACCGTTCCTATTTCCCCGAATTACAATCAACCAGACGTAATAATATAATATAATAATTTGCTTTATTCCAAAACAGTACTTGTAATACAACAGAATGGAATTCTCAGCATTTTTACTACAGTATTGCATCCAGTTAGTACATTATTAATACATAAAATTTTACATAGATTAAGGTAATCTCAGTTCATTATGACAACAACATTTTAGCATATCGGTAGCAAAGCCAAAATTGAACAGTGTTTGAATGGGTTAGAAAAGTAGATGCTAGCATATTTACTGGCGTAAGCGGTAACAAAAAGGTCGAGATATACAGAGTGTGAAAGAACGAAGAAGAATGTTTTAAATAGAGTTTGTAAGGAAGAAAGAAACAAAGCAGCACATAACAGAAAAAAGAGAGAGAGAAAAAAGGAAAAGAAAGAAAGAAAACGTTGTACCTATAAATTATATGAGTTGGAAAGACGAGGTCCAGTTGCTCTACTAACTATTTAATAAGTTACAGGTATCACGCCTAATGCTTTCTTTATCGCACAGAACACGAGCTAAGTAGGGTATGGTTGAGTTTTTGTACTTGCTAGTGCGAGCATATAGTTTTCTATATATGCTTCTGGTCCCCTGCCTGATGAGATACAGGGGGAGAGTTGTGAGTGAAGAGGGTGGTGTGAGTCAGATAAAACGGATTTGGCCCATTTTTCACATGAGTCCAAGTGCCTGTCAACCAGAATATTAACAAGCTGGTTAAGTGGCACGTTGCTTACCCTGCTGATAACCTTTAACATCCTGCGTAATAAGATATAGTCTTTCTTCAGTAGCCCTGGAAAAACTAAGGGGGAACAACAGAGAATAATAGGCAGAATGCGAGATTTAGTTAGTTTAGTGGATTGAGTTGGATGAGAACAGAACCCCGACCTCCTGGCATGACTGGTGATCATTCTACCACCAACGCACACACACACATCTAAAAGCTCTTCAGTTAACTAAAAATGATTACCACATGTACGGGAAATTCAATGGATAAGGGAGTTGAGCACTATTCATTCTGACGAGAACAATGTAGATTCAACTTAGTTTGGAAACAAACAACTCACTGAGATTACATTCCACTCATAAACGGTTTCATTATCGATCACTGTGTGATGAACACTATACTAAAATTATTAACCGTTCTGCCTTGTATCTCTATCACTAAAATCCTGTCTGTATTTCAACGAATCACACTTCGATTTAACGTCACCAGCTACGCTTTATTGTTCCAATAATAAGTGGAATTATATTACGCCAAACAGGAGTTTGATTTTTCACTAAACATTTTCATTGAACACTGGTCGCCTTCCTGAATAGTGGATGTTTGGTTGCGCGAGAATATGCACAATATGCTCAGGTTCCGTAAGGACAGAAACCAATAAGCTGTCTCAAAAACATGTTCATATCAAAGATAAGGTATGGCACTTCACACTTGCCACTTATTGGAGATAATCTTCGGGGAGAAGATTTTAAGCGAAATTAGTTTATCACAGGATGATGATGAAGAGAGTCGGTGCATAGACAACTTCACCTATTCAGACATCGTTCAGTAAATAAATCACTCTGGTGTTGATGAGTCACACTTATAGTGTGAGGGCGGATTATACTAACTAGCCATCAAAAAACATATCAGTAGGTGAAGTCGGGTTCGAACCAGTGACCCAATGATCGCATGATTTAGAGAGTAAACCAATGAGTCACAACCCTGTGAGAAAGGTTATTGTACACCATAACTTAACATTATTCTGAACGCCATTGAAAAATAATCGTTGGAAAGATGAGACATGAATAAACTGGTATATAATAATTAAGTATCTAAATAACATTGTACTGGTTGGAGGATTCCATCATGAGGTGACATCGGCTAGAGAAGCATTGGAAAACCCGCTGGGAGTACTGGAGAGCCAGCTGTTTCGTCAGTCTAGTTTGGGACACCGCTTCATCAGTATGCACCCACCACAGGGGTTCGGATCCAGGACCTCTCGGTTACAAGGTGAGCCAGCTCGTAGACCATTAAGCCACTGGGCTCCGATCTAGTGGTCCATGAATTGGTAGAAGTTAGAATTCATGGGCCATTAGATCGGGCCCCAGTGGCTTAGTGGTTCTACGAGCTCGTCTTGTAACCAGAAAGCCCTGGGTTCGAACCACTGCGGTGGGTGCGTACTGCTGAGGCGGTATCCCAAACTAGGTTGACGAAACAGCTGGCTGTCCAGTACTCCCAGCTGGTTTTCCAGTGGTTCTCTAACTGATGTTAGCTTATGATGAAATCCTCCAACCAATCAAACCAAATTCCCTACAAAACCAGTACTTGTAAATGACATTTTACGCAAGTACTTGAACTGCTGGGTGAGCGACTTTGATATGAATGTGAACCTTCAAATGATTACAGTTGGCAAGATATAACTTACATATGACAACGAGTCACTACCTGAAAGTTTTCACGAATTGAAAATGAATCATCTCTGAACACATTATCAAATCGTAATATAGCTCATCAAAAGCAACCTAATATTGATCCTAATGTATGCGCATTTTTTTAAGTTTTTCGACTTCATTGAGGAACAAGTAAAAAATAAAAATTAGAATAAGGCATTAGAGGAGACTGTGCGTCGGTGGCACAGTGGTTAGGACTTTCGCCGACCATGCACATAGCCGGGGTTCGATCCCCTGCCGACGCACACCTGATATCAATGGTCGGCCTGCAAAATTTGGGCTACCGACAACACACGCTGAAAATTCCATACTTGTACCAAAAATACTATGTGGAATCAAGCTGTAATAAAAAAAACAAGGTAACGTTTTCATTTCATAATTTCTTCACAATCGCTACAAAACTATCATGGTTTGCAAAACAAAATGTTTGACAACTAATCAGTTATATATACATAAAATAAAAGTGCATACTAACAGTCAATCACATTCTAGTAGGTCAAGTAGTGTACGTTTGGCAAAAGTTGAAGCCTACTGTTTTCTCTACGCATAGTTTGCGATGCACATAATCAATCCAAAGTGCTTCCATCAC